ATAATGTATCCTAAGTTTTTAATCTTGCTGACTAATTTTAAGGGATATTTGTGTATGAATATTGGGGGCAAAAAATCCAGATTTGTCAGTTTTCTAGCACTGATTGGCAGCACACAGCACTTGTTTTTATTTAAAATTAGACCACTAGCAGCCGCCGAGCTAGAGATATCAGCCAAGTCAGTATTAATGCTTTTACATAACTCTCTAGCTTGATCAAAAGGTGCAGATAAATATAACTGAATGTCATCAGCATAACCATGCAGGTTTGAAAATTTGCACACACTGAAGATGTCATTAATAAATATGCTGAAAAGCAGGGCACCAAGGATGGAGCCTTGAGGCACCCCTGAAGTAATTGGCTTGAGTTGCGATGTGTCTTCCCAAATTCTTACAAACTGAAACCTGTCAACAAGGTAGCTTTTCACAAGTTTTAAAGCACTACAACTAAAATCAAAGTACGCTTTCAACTTACAGCTTAATAACTCATGGTTGACCATATCAAATGCTTTTGAAAAGTCAAGTAGGCAAAGCAAGCAGTGCCAATTTCCCATTGCTCTGGGAAACAAGACGTGGTAATACAATGATTAATAATGTGCGTTAGTGTCCCAAAAAAGCAAGGTAGTATAATTTTAATAAATTTAATTGGTAAACCATCATGCCCTATTGCATTGGATGAGATTTTAAATATACTCATTGCAACATCATATTCACTAACAACTGAAAATAGAAAACAGTCATCCCTAAACAAGAGATCATCCCTGGACATAAAGTTAATAGTGTCACTGTGTGGTACACAGTTTAGAAGAAAAGCATCATTAACCACATTTGCTTCTAAGGAACATTCGACATTCTCCTTACAATGAACACCAAGTCGTTTAATGTTACGCCATAGAACCTTTGTTGAGAGACCAGAATTTAGTTTCTTGTTAAAATAAGCTCGTTTTTCATTTCTGATAACAAGCGTCGCTCTGTTTCGAGCCAATTTAAAGGCATTCCAATTTTCCAACGTGGGTTTCTTTTTCCATATGGAATGAAGTTTATTTCGTAACATAATTGATTTCAGAGATTTTGAGGTAACCCATGGACAGAACATAGACTTATTAGTGATTGTACGAATGGGGACATGTCTCTCGAAGGCAGACATTAAAATTCCCATTAAGAAATCCAGTTTTTCATCGGTAGATGGATTTATCCAACATTCGCTCCAGTCTACATAATACAATTCCGAAAGAAGTAAATTTGTGTTGACAAAGCGGTAATCTCTAAATGAGATAGTCTTATTTATGCAACAACGATCGATATTTATGTCCAAACAGCAGAAAATGAGATCATGGTCAGATATAAAAGTTAATTGGTCAAATTTTAGTACAGTAGTTAAGTCAAGAATTATGAAGTAGTCAAGAAGACTAGGAGTGCAATTCACTGCAAACCGTGTGGGAAGAGATCGGTTGACGACAGAGAGAGAGCAACTGGATAGATTGTCGAGTAAATTATTTGTATAAGAGTCGTTGACAAGAAGATTAACATTAAAATCACCACATACTATAACTGAATTGTACTTAACAACATATAAAGAAATTACATCAAAAAAAGGTTTGACAACATTAGTTCGGTGAGGATTATAAACACAAGAAACAACAGTCTGGAATTTTTTATGGCTTACTTCTACAATTAAATATTCAATATCGCTATCGGCAGATTTTGAAAGTAATTTCATAGAAAAGATGTCCTTGCAAAATATTGCAACCCCACCTCCTCTTCTTCCTGGTCTGTCATTACGTATAAATTTGTAGTTTTTTATGTTAGTAGACGAGTAACATAAATCCTCATCAAACCATGTTTCAGAAACACAGATGACATCAACTGATGAAAGCTCAAATGTGTTGCGAACATAATCCATTTTATCTGAACTTAGACTCCGCGCATTGCAATGGACTATGTTGAATCCACTGTTCTGTTTACATAGCACATCAATCATGAGACTGTTCATGCCAATACTAAGACAGTTGTTTTGTATGCTCACCAAGAATAAAAACATAAGCAACCTCAAGAATAACAATATAAAGCAAGGAAAAGAGAATGACTATTTTTACAAAAACATTCCAATAAAACATATACGAAATATTAGGTTGTCAAATATCTCCCTTCCGCTTTTTTGTCTTTTGAATTTCGCGGCTATGTACAAGGCGCTACAGAGCTCGTAACACTATACATAATTTGAAAGGCCTTGACATAACCTACAAAACAACGCTATGCATGATAAGTTTTGATATTGCGTTCAAGAGTTATAGTCGTGTAAACATGGAGTTCAGTAACGCCGAAACTCGCGCTATTTTAAAGTTTTCCTTCGTTAAAGGCAAATCCGCTAGAGAAACGTTCCGTGAGATTAATGGTGTTTTGGAGGATGGCACTCTATCACCTCGAACCGCGGAGGAATGGTTTCGACGATTCAGAGCCGGTGAAAACGCCGGCGGAAGACCTGTGACGACAAATACCGATCAAATCATGGAATACATCGAGTTAGACCGGCATATGGCATCTCGTGACATCGCCCAGGAGATGGGAGTTAGTCACCAAACCATTTTGAACCATCTGCAGAAGGCTTGATACCAAAACAAGTTTGATGTTTGGGTGCCGAATAATTTAACGCAAAAAAACCTTCAGGACAACGCCTGCGATATGCTGCTGAAACGGAACGAACTCGACCCGTTCGAAGCGGATTCCGANTGACCAGGCTTTCCACATTTAAAGCATTTCCCCGCTTGAGTCTTGCAACCAGAACGATTAATCTCTTTTAGCGATTTCAGAATTCTCAATATTTCTGTCATCACATCTGGTATTTCAACCTCCACTTTATTGCTTTTGTAGGATGGTCTGTTTATGAGTGCCGCCGTTTCACGTGTCTGTGCATACGCAAAAGTTTCAGCGAATGCCAACTTTGGATTCGCATATGTCTCTCGCTTGGTGTACACGTCTTTTATTCCGCTGATGAACCTTTGTATCTTCACCCTTTCAAGATGATCACTCGATGTGTCTCCAGTGGCTAAATGAGCCAATCTCTCAGCTTCCGATTCGTTGGATTTTTGGTCGCGTTTTCATAACTCCATCTGGTAAATCTGTCTACTGTGTTCGCTACCATAGCGTCTTTCCAGGGTTTGCATCAATCCGTCATAATCTTTTCTCTCGTTTACGGATATGGTTTGCAAAAGTTTGGCTGCCGGTCCTTCCAATGCAACGAATAGTGCAGCGGAATTTTCCTCTATGCTCCAGTTGTTTGTTTCAGCTGTCTTCTCAAATTGGAGCTTAAAAACTTGAAGAAGAAAGAAGGTGTTTTTACCTTCGGAGCGTTCACTGAAGCGTTTGGACGATTTAGCTGCAATTCCCGACGACACGACTTTCCAGTGCATTGAATTTGGTCTCAATTAGATCCTGCCTTTCCTTAAGTTCCGCATTGTTCCTCACCAGATTTTGCTGTATTTGCGCTATTGTTCCTTCCAAGGATGACATCTGCTCCCTCTGTTCAACCATTTGTGATGTAATGTTGGCATTCTGTGCATCCATCTTTTGTGAGATGCTGGCTTCCTGTGCATCCAACTTTTGTGAAATCGCAGTCAATGAATGTTCATGTCAATAGCCGTATGTGACCCAGGAGCTTTTTCTTGAATCTTTCTTGATGGTAATTCCAACTCCTTCACAGAATTATTAGCCACTTCCTTGTCAATGTCCTTCAAGGATAAATCTTCATCCTCGCGATGGAACTCGTACTGGTTCAAGTCGATGCCTTCAACTTCCATTGCTGCACGCAGTCTCGATTGCAGCTCTGCCTTGTTTCCAGTTGTCGATAATCCCCGTTTTGCCAATTCCCTTTTGAGAGGAGGTATCGTCAAATCCTGAATCTTTACCATTTTGCAATGATGATTTTCTGAATCCTTCGGGTACGATCTCTGGATTGTTAGATAAAAATTCGCCAACTTATTTTGAAGTTTCTTTCGTTATAAAGAATTTATCTAATGTCTTTTATTTTCTCAGTAATTCACAATTCAATTACAATGCACTTCACTATTTACAATCACTAGCATCAACTTTCACAATTTACTCTACTTAAATGTAATTCCCAACACGTTTACTCCGCTATACTCTATGTTCACGAAAACGAGTTCACTTTGTCACTAACTTAACTTGGCAGCTGAGCGTCGCCCTTATATAGCAGTCGGCTGCTCGTAGACGAAAGTGTAGGATACTCGAGTTGTTCGCTATCGAAGGTTCTCGTTTTATCGTTTCTAGAATGTACTAGTTATCGGCTACTCTCTTTCATCTGACATTCGCCGCGCATTTTCGCAACATTATTTTATTTATTTACATTAATCATTATATTTTACATTTTTAAGGTATTAAACGAGCACAAAGGAACAAATCGAATGCCACCAGAAGGCGAAGAGGCTCGTTTTCGGGATGGAATAACTTGCTTCATATGCTCAACGAAACAGATTTGATTTAAAATACAACTTAAACATTCTAATTGGACAGAAAGTCGTTTGGAGTCTTTAAGTCGTTATGATGACGCTAATTCAATGACAAGCGGCCTTGTGCACTTACTTATTGATTGCTATTAAGGTAATTGTATATATTATACTGTAAAATGGTTGTTTTATTTGAACATTAATTTTTTATTTTACTTTTTTATTTCAGGTAGCGACTAAATCCCACATCTCGAGTTGTGCAGATTTGTACAAACTCTGAAGTTTGCAATGAGCGTTACGACAGATAAATGCGTCATACAATCGCTTGCATATGTAGCTATGATGAGAGTATTGTGGGTTTTATTAGCCATGGACAAATACCAAGGTACCCAATTAGAGTTAAACGATATGCTGAAAGCACTTGATGTTGTTCATATAAAATGTAGATAACAATTTATGAACTGATCTAAAGATTATATTTACAATAAATAAACAAAATGTAGAAAAATAAGCAGAAAAGAAAGATGGTTTCAGTAATGTGAATCATTTGGCTGTAGTCTCAAAAGTGAAAATAACAGCGAAGTTCAGTAAGCAGTGTCTTGGGCCGTAGTTACAATTGCTTAGAAATTAAAAAACTTACATTTTATTCTCATATCGAATTTTTTTGTTTTCTACAGAGTTCATGATGGCTATCTGCTGATGGGTTTCTCTAGATAACGATATTTCAAAAATGAATTCTTGTTACAAATGGCAGACACCGTTTATTAAAGAGAAGAACCGGGGCGTGCCGATTGCCATTTGTTCAACCTACGGGATTGCTAAGAGGCTATTTCACCTCTATACGATATAAGTAAGAGACTATTTCACCCCTGGCTAACAGTGAAATACCAGATAGTGACAACTTATTTACAGAAGAATGATATTTGGGAGACAATTATTTTATTAATTTATTATTATCTTGCTCAAAAATTTTTACAAACAGAGACAATTTCTGGCGGCAGTGATGATTTCGTCGATTCTGGCAGTTCACACGCTGTCTGCTATCGGCCCCTCTCGTATTTGACGTTATCTGCAAATGGGCAACCAGTTAAGATTCCGTGATGTTTTGGACATATCGAGTCTTATAAACGATGACAAAAAAATGAAATAAACAATTATCTTATTAAACAAAAATAAAACTGAAGGAAACTATGTATGCACATATTCTCACATACATACTCGTATGATCATACATCTATTTTTGTATAAGTACGTTGTTAGTTTACCTTTTTCCCGGTTACTTTTTCTATTTTTACTATTGTATTTGGATTCTACTACTGTACCGCAATACATTCAAACGGACATGTAATAAACAATAATTTTACTATACTTACATACATCTGTACAGACATACCGTGTCTCACAGCCGAAGTGATGCAGCTGTGTTAGAAATAGCACAATAAGTTTTATTTAAAATTTATATAAATTTTCCAGTTAATAGCGGCAGATATACCCATTTCATTTATGCTTTATAAATTTTATATTTTAAGTTTATTTTATGTAAATAACAACAAATACAAACTTTTTATCTCGCAGCGAAAATGATGAACATAAGATTATTATATTTCTTTTTTTAAAGAATAAAACTAAAATTGTTGTTCATAAATGTACATAAATGCATTGAATCACGAGGTAGACACATAAAGTATGATCACCAATAGCGAGATATCACTTACTCCAGCAATATCTACAGTAAAAAACTCCATTAACTGTTATCAGGCTCAGATTATTATATTCTTTGGCACTAATTCAAAACGAGCTCGCCACTTCTTTTCCAGAGATAAAGTTCCACCACACTACAAAACAGGTTATCGACGTTTTCAATAAGGAAGACCAAAGAGAAATCCTCCAAATCGAACATAATTGTGCACATAGATCCTGTCGCGAAAATGAACAGCAGGTCCTAGAAAATTACTACTTTCCTGACTTAAGAAAAATGTTATAAGAAATAGTTTCAAACTGCAAGCTATGTCATGAAGCAAAATACCGGCGGCATCCTCCTAACCCCGAAATAGGATCATTCCCATACCTTAGTACCCAGAAGAAATCTTTTACGTTGACATTTATTCAACAGACAAAACACATTTCCTGACAACAAAAGATAAATTCTCTAAATTTGCAATGGTTTTTCCAATAAAATCTGGAGCCACAGTCGATATTAGAGAAGCAATCTATGAACTCCACAACTTTTACAAAAACACTAAAGCTCTGGTTTGCGATAACGAAAGGTCCCTGAATTCTGAAACTATTAAATCCTAAAAAACACTTCAGTGTCACGATCTACCCCACACCACCGGCTCACAGTACGGCCAGGTGGAAAGGTTTCACAGAACACTTACGCACGCCGCCAGAGGCTCGAATTTGCATTTTCAACACACCCGAACTAACTCTGCTAGCAACGGCTAAGTACAACCGCACAATTCATTCCGTGACAAACGGACATAAACATCATCTACGCAATGCCAGACGAACTGGTTAAAGAAATAAAGAACAGACTTATATGTACTTAACAAAATTAGTTAAAAAGCCACAATAGAAGACAAACAAGACAATATAAACCAGTAGAAAAAGTTTTTCTAAAGACCAATAAGAGAATAGAGAGTCGATGGACGTAAACTTTACAAAATCAACTTAAAACACTGAAATTCCTTCCTCCTTAGGATAGCTCTGCTCTTGATAATGGACCCTTGGACTAACGCAAAGGTTTTCAACTATGCCAGCTCTTGTTACATCCCGGTAGTGACAAGAAGCCGAAGAGACAGACACAATATTAGAGCAACTCCCACTTTCCCATGCCAGGCAACTTCTCCGAAACGACGCTGACGAAATATTAAAACTACTAGACGCGGTCAGGATACATCACCGACATGCACGAGGCGTCAATATCTTAGGGACTGCATTAAAGTACATAACCGGCACTCCGGACTTTGACGACTTCCAGACAATTGAGGCCAAAGCCGAAGCCCTAATAGAAGCAAAAGAACAACAGGCAATGGTTAATCAAGCTACCCAGAGGAAAATTAACGAACTGACGGTGATAGTTATTAAACTTTTAACACAGGCAAAACGGACGCAGATCGTCACGGGTAATCTCATTTCTTTAGTCAGCACAAGAAGAAGAGCGGTAATAATGCAATTACAAACCCTCATTACATCAGAAGGTCTAGTAAAGGAGAACAATATTAAGCCCATTCTGCGCAATCGCATGGAAATAAGTAATATATTAGCTACTGAGCTCTCTGCAGATACTATTGTAGTATTACTGACATACTTTCTGTTTCTAAATTTAAGATATTTCAAAATACACAGTTTATTTATTTCATTATTAAATACCCAAAAATAGCTAGAATTTGTAATAATGTAAAGTTGCTGCCCGTAATCCAGGAAGCGAAGATAATTTCCGAAACGAGTCTTATGGCTGAATGCAACAGAAAATATATCACACTTTATTATTGCAAAGAAGCCATTATAACAAACTTCGGCCAGATCTCGAAATAAAGTCCCTGTGTACGACAACTACTGAACCAACGCTATGCAAATTGCAAATCTAAGTCAGACGACCACGTGCCCGCCATTGAGGGGATCGATGACGGCGTGGTTCTAATTTATGACCCTATAATACAAAATGAAAATTTGACAAGATTGGCTAGAAGAACACTGGCAACTGGAATGATGTAATGCGTTCACATCCCGAGGCGGTACCCGCACAACACGTTAACTTCACCGCACATATTGAGCTATTTTCACTTCCACACCTACAAGGAATTGATTTAAAAAATCTCAGGCACATAGCTCATCTACGTAATCTTATTGAAACCCGCTCCATACAATCGGAAAGCGTCTTGCTCCTAATCGTATTAGCCACAGCTATGGGCATAACAATACATCTGAGGAGACGACAAAATCTATGGTAGTACTGAAGAATATCATAAAAGAAACCGAGGACGCTTTCGCTTCAAGAGGGTGAGTAGCTAACACACGCAACCAATGATGCGGCCAAAATATTGCTTCAACGGAATCTGCTGATGGTGTGTCTCCAGCATTGCACGTAACAACAAAGAAAAGCTCGATACTGCAATGATAACCAACAATAACGCTTCCGGCCATATTGTTGATCGAACAGTTACAGTCTTGCGCGTGATAATAGCAATAGCAAACCAAATACAAGACAGTGAGCCGAATTAGCTCCCGCGGCTAATAACTTGCTGCAACTAAAGTTAGGGCAATCAGTGTGGGTATTTAGACGCTAGCGTCGCTCCTGCGTAGGTTGGTTATGACCAGCTGCCCTTGTTAATACAAAGGAAATAAAAATATTCAAAGGAACTTAAAGGGAGCGTTTTACTTATACGCACATCTTTTTCTAGCACACTAAAACACCAAATTTGATATTTTGCAACAGAAACAATCTTATGGGAACAAAAAGTTCGTTTTGTAGTGGTATCCGGTGAAATCGTATCAATTGTTGCAGTGAAATGGTTTCCACCGTCTTGTAGGCTACCGAATGTCATTAAAAGTATCGATAAGTCATATCGTTATAAAATGTGTATAGAATAGCGAAATTGTGATAATTATTGAAAAAGTATTGTAGTGCAATTTTGTAACTTTTTCGACACGATTTGTCGAATCGCAAAGCTCCGAATTTTGTCGCTTGCTCTAACGATTATGCGATTCTCTAACTCAGTATTTAAGATAATCGACCACGAACATTTCCATTTTATTAACATGAAGGAAAGCTTAACAAAACGTCAAAATATGCGAAATGCACAAAGTGGAATGACAAAAACAAATAAATTTGTTATAGAAATTATCTTTATTAAATGAATAGCAATGCATAACAAAGTTTATCAAATCAGAAACATGTATTGGTTTGCACTTTCATGCACGACTCTCCGCTCTATAGAGGAGCTCCAAATAAAATAATTGTGCCACGCCCTTGGGTACTTGGCCTTTGTCCCTATAATCTTGCGATCAGGATCACCTAGCTGTGTGCAAATATTATGAATTTTGTCAACTCAGTAGTAATTGAAATAAATTTACTGCCGCCATTTGCTCGTTGGTAGAATGGTATTCATGAAGGTTGATATAGGCTTCTTCGCAATCGATAATCCCATTCTCAGGTAGCCCATGACATTCTTCAATGTCCGTTAGTAGCACTGAGTGGTTGACGATGTCAAAAGCTTTTGACAGATCCAGGGCTACCAGGACAGTCCGCGCGCAGGGTAGGTTTTGGTTAAAGCAATTGACTATCTGGGTGCTTATCACGTATAGTGCTGTTGTGGTACTGTGCACTTTTCGGAAGCCATTCTGATGTGCTGCTGGACGCATGTGGTGAGTAATGGTCGGGAACAGCAATTCTTCTCCTTTGCTGGCTGATTTCCCCGGTTTGAGCAGCGGGACCACCCTGCCCGTTTTCCACAACTTAGGTATCGTTAGGGTTGTCAAAAACAAGTTGAAAAATCAGCATGCTTATTCCTTCGGGGCCGATGAGCCCCTGAACCTCCTCCCTGTAGAAATCAAGCACCGCGCTGGTGTTTGGCAGTTTGCGCATACGGCGGGTTACACGTCGTTTCGCTTTGTATACTGAGGGATGCAGTGTTGCACAATCACGTGAAACGGCGGCACTCATAAGCAGACCATCCTACAAAGTAAATACTTGTAAAGTAAAACAAAGGAACAAATCGAATGCCACCAGAAGGCGAAGAGGCTCGTTTTCGGGATGGAATAACTTGCTTCATATGCTCAACGAAACAGATTTGATTTAAAATACAACTTAAACATTCTAATTGGACAGAAAGTCGTTTGGAGTCTTTAAGTCGTTATGATGACGCTAATTCAATGACAAGCGGCCTTGTGCACTTACTTATTGATTGCTATTAAGGTAATTGTATATATTATACTGTAAAATGGTTGTTTTATTTGAACATTAATTTTTTATTTTACTTTTTTATTTCAGGTAGCGACTAAATCCCACATCTCGAGTTGTGCAGATTTGTACAAACTCTGAAGTTTGCAATGAGCGTTACGACAGATAAATGCGTCATACAATCGCTTGCATATGTAGCTATGATGAGAGTATTGTGGGTTTTATTAGCCATGGACAAATACCAAGGTACCCAATTAGAGTTAAACGATATGCTGAAAGCACTTGATGTTGTTCATATAAAATGTAGATAACAATTTATGAACTGATCTAAAGATTATATTTACAATAAATAAACAAAATGTANACAAGCATAAGGCCAGCCAACTTATCCGCAAGTACTCCAACATATTTGACGAGAAAGGCAACAAAATAGGCAGGACCAACGTACTGAAACATTGCATCGATACGGGTGGCGCAAGACCAATTCGTCAAGCTCCGCGAAGCGTTCCACTAGCCAACCGTGACGCAGTTGGCAAAATAATTAAGGAAATGAACGAAAGCGGTGTTATCGAGTCATCTGCAAGTCCTTGGAGCTCTTCGGTAGTACTCGTGAAGAAGAAAGATGGCCAGTTGCGGTTCTGCGTAGTCCACGGAGATCGAAGATTAAACGATGTCACAAAGAAGGACAGCTATTCTTCGCCCAGGATCGATGATATACTAGACTCATTAACTGGCACAGAATGGTTCTCAACACTCGACCTTAAGAGCGGGTATTAGCAAGTATAAATGAGTGAAGAAAATAAAGAGAAGACAGTTTTTAGTGTTGGCAACGGTCTATGGCAATTTACGGTAACGCCATTTGGGTTATGCAACGCCCCTGCCACGTTTGAAAGACTAATGGGCCATGTGCTTAAAAGATTACACTGGAAGACTTGTTTGGTGTTGTAACGACAGCCCATTATAAGCAGATCTAAATAACGAGCGCTTCCTAATACTATTACACTTTTTACTACTCATTTGCATAAATGATGTGAAAGTTCTTATGTATGTATGCATGTGAATATGCCGAAAAGAAAGCTCTATTTGAGTAGGAAATGTGTGTTTGTATATGTGAGTGAAAGCTCGAGAAAAGTTTCACAAACAGGACGCCATGGTAGCAACAGTAGACTAGCCAAGATCAGTTTTAATAAGTTGTTTTAATAAAGTTGTGAAAAACTAAAGAAGTGTGGTGCGCGAGTTCGCTTAGCAACCAAGAATAAAAAATCCCGTGGGGGATACAGTTAAAAAATAAAAAACAAAAAAAAAAAAAAAAAACATTAATTCCAGCCACCAAACTGTTATAAGTGGCAGAACCACCCGTGGGGCTAAAAGCCCATAATACCCATAGAGGCATCATCAATCAGCATATTATTACTGAAGACAAGTCACCTTACCCGCGGAACGGCTGGCAGAGAAATACAATAAATGGTACATGAAAAGATAAACATGCTTATTCAGCGAGCACAGCAGCAAAGGTGAGAGCTGAAACAAGAGAAATCAGCACCTTTACTTGGTGGAGGTCTTAGCCACCATAGACAGCAGGGGAAGAAATCCACCACATTCATGCGTTGAATTCCGGATGTTTCCATGGGACACATGTGCCACTGTATCATTTCACTTATAAAAATTTTAAATACCTGCGAAACCATTTTGTGTGGATGAAGGAGTCACCCAGAAGGCAGGAGGACCGACGTTCGAAGATATATATTTAAACTTTTCGTAGTAGTTTTGCTTGTATCGCGCACGATCTTTTGTTTTATTTAGTCGCAACTAAATAATGTTTTTTTACGTCATGATTAGTTAACTCATTCAACTTTTTTACTTTCACTTCTTTTAAGATCAATTTAATTAAGTTTAAACTTTAGTTTGTTTGCATATTTAAAAATCGTAATCTCGCCGAGATCTTTTGCTCCGTAATATTGAATAAGAGATCAGCTGTCATCGCCGAATATACCTTTGACAGGTGTTCGGTCAGTACACTTGTTCTTGTTTGTTCTTTTCCCCTTTTTCAGCACATCACCTCCTTTATGCTGGCGCCTTCATCAAGCGAGATCGGTAAGTGCAAATTGTAGATAATAGAGAGATTTTTAAAATAGGCACAGTAGTGGCTGAGAAAAAAAGGCTAGTGGCGTATATTGAATTTTTCGTATGTACATATATATATATATATATATGTATATACGTAATAGATATACATATAGAAAAAGAAAACAAAACGCACATACTACATGTTACTATATTTATTTTTCTGAATAATAATTATTTGCATTTGAGTAAATAGGATTTTTGTATCTTTTT